TATATGATCATGAGAAGGGATGGTGTGTTATACAAACATTTTTAGAAAAATTAAGTGAGGAGAAAAAGTTTTTTAGAAGATGGGTTAGAAGCTGCATGGCTAATAAGATGAAAGAGAGAAATGTGAATTAAGTCCTTCCATGATTTTTAGAATCATCCTCATTAGATGAACTAGACCAGAGGTCTTCAACAGGGGGTCCGCGACCCCTAGGGGGTCCACATAGGTACTGCATGGGGGTCGTGAAAGCTTTGGTTGATAGACCCTGCATTTTTTTTTCAATAATTTAAATCTCTTTAAATACACATTAACATGAATTTAACACACTGTAGTAAACAGATAAATAGAGGCACAAGATGTCTTTGAGTCGAGTCAGGCTCTTTCAAGCTGGACACTGTTTCATTCACAACACCTGTCCCATCAACAAGGAATCAGAATCAGAAATACTTTAATAATCCCAGGGCAAAATTACTTTTGTTACATCACTCCATCTGTAATAGAGTGATTCTTGGTGATATAACACAATTTCATACAATATATATAATTTGGGGGTCCCCCCTCCATCTCGCCATCAGTTTTGGGGTCCTTGGCCTGGAAAATGTTGAAGACTGAACTAGAGCAATAGTCAGTTTAAGAGCCACTCCATTTAGATCAGCTACAACCAGACATGTCAGAAACATTTTAGGCCATTAGAAGAAAAAAAATTACTATTTTGTCGAAATGTCCAGATACTGTCCTTTTTTATCAGATAAAATTATATTTCTATTTGATTTGGAAATAGTAGGTTTTCTATATCAGGGCTCTTTAGCTCCAGTCCTCCAGGACTGGTGTCCTAAACCTTTCAGCTTTGTCTTTCTTCAACACACTTGAGTCAAATAATTAAGTCATTAGCAGGATGCTGGAGAACGTGAGTGCATACTGAGAAGGTAAATCAGCCATTTGATTTAGAAGCATGGAAGCAGTGACAAAATCAAAAACCTTGAGAATTAGAACAAAAATCCTCTGCCCTGTTGTATTTAAGTCAAGACTTTTTTTGTGCTAAACTCGACTATTGGGGACACTGGGCCTCATAAACACATTAGCACATCCACAGACTGTTCACTAAGGCTATGCTCACACTACAGCCTGAAGTGATCCAAATCTGATTTTTTGGCCCATATGCGACCTGTATCTGATCTTTTAATGGCAGTCTGAACAACAAAGATACGATTTTTTCCAATCCCACCCAGCCCACTTGGCTATGTGGTCCTAAATCCGATATGAATCTGATCTTTTCAAATGCGACCTGTGTCTGAACAGCCAGGTCGCATTCATCCGACCTGAACGCTGTTAATACCCGACAAAGGTCACTATTCTGGGTCTTGCTATGAAGAAGCAGCAAGAAAAACAACAACCATGGCGGATGAGGATGAAGAGAGCAGTATTTATGTTTAACCATATTGAAAAGATTGTGTTTTTATGGTTGGGAAAGATCCTAGATGCGCTCCAGCACTACCATCCATGTTTACTTCCGTAAACACAGAGCATGCTGGCCTGTGACATCATTGCGTCCTCTACTGTGCATGCAGGACACTTGTGTTGTATGACTGCAGTTCACACAGGAGATCACATACAAGCTGCATATATTTGTAAATGTGAACTTCAAAAAAATGGGATTTCACAAAAAAAAAAAACGAATTGAACACCAAGGCCTGCAGTGTGAACGTAGCTTATGTGACAACCAAGTATTGAGTTCTTATACTGGAATTTACTGTAACAAATTCCACGCCAGATGAAAAGTACATTTCCAGAACTGCTACTCTATGCACAGCAGTGCTGTGATGTCAGAGCACCATATGGTGCATTCATTTATTAATATATGTAGACATAATGATCAGATCTGTGCTTTTTCTATAGCAAAACAAAACAACATTGCAAGAAAGAGATTTGCTCACAGAAAATAAAGAATTTTATTTCAAAAGGGGGAAAAATATTATATGTTAATGACAGCAGAAATAGTTTCAGGGTTTTATTCAAAATGGAACAATCAGAGATTGGAAATTACCTGTTATAACTGAAGAAATGAGATCCTGGCCTCATACTGTGACCCGGTTTAGCTACAGGTCTTCTGCATAATAGAAGTAACTGTTAGCTACAGGTCTTCTGCATAATAGAAGTAACTGTTGTGATTTGAATCCCAGTGAGAATTATATGGCTGGTTAGTATTTCAAAAGAGTAGTTTATGTTAATACCAATGCCAGTGATAACATTGACATATTATTGTTTTCTTTTGACAAACTGTACTAAGTAACAAAGCATTTTGGATTTATGAAATACCTGACGCCATTTCTGAATGCTAAAAAATAAAGAGGTTTGACAGTTTAGACAATAAATGTGTGTTTGTGTATTTTATCAAAAAAACCTCCAAAACTGGTAGAATATTTTGTGCCAGTGATGGAAAAGTCATTATTTTACACAGGTATATAAGTCTAAATGTCAACAGAAAACAAGCAACCTTTGCTAAAAATAGTCAGACGTAGAGTCTGACTGACTAGATATTTCTCATTTTCTTTCTTATTGGCTGACTAAATGTCATGCATCCATTTTCTGTTTTTAATTACATTAGGTTTTAAAGTTTAAAAGCAAGAGGTGAACAGCAACAAGTTATGCAATCCACCATCTGCTATTGATTTCAAGCTAAAGATAATCTCTCTTCAACCTCTAAAGCTAAAGCTGTCAATCAGATCATACTGCAGCATTATGCTTGGTTACCTTTGGGATTACTGTTTTACATTAAAACCTAATTATGGTGGGAGGGCATCAATTATATTAAAGCTGTTGGACTAAATTGTTCTAATGGCTTCTTAACAGGTCTCTGAGCTCAGCAGTTGCCTACTATGGTACAGTATATTCACATTATCTTCTAATGAACCTTAAGAAGGCTTCCTTATTAAATTTAGACTGCATTACTGTACATGGTGCCTAGGGTTTTGTGTTCTGCAGAAAAAAAGGAAGATACTCATCCTTCTTGTTTCTGTTGTTATAACACTTGGATCCATGCTTTCCCTTTAAAAAGCACGTATTTCCTAAAAAGGTGAGAGAGAACTGATATTTCTGGATGTTTAAATTTGTCATTTATAATTAAGTTTGAAGTGTTTCCTGACTGCAGATGGAGGCTTTTGTCCAAATGCATGGAGAACCCTCTAGTGTATTTCTCCAAGGATTACTTACAGGCAGTGTAAAGTGCTCTGCCAGTTGAATTCATCTGGTTCAGTGTCTCACAAAGCACTGAGGCAAGCCTGTTCATGAAAAATAAAAAGGCAATGCTTGATGTAGTGTATTCAAGCATGAATTTATAAATAGATATATATTTAGACATAGATCACCATGTAAGACAATGGATAAGAAACCATCATAAGCTGATGTTAATAAAACTACTTTTTTATTTTTAGAAAGGCTTTTTAAGTCGTGCAAGAAAAAATGCTGCTTTGTGAGTGAAGTGTAGAATTGATTCTATATAGGGTCAAATGTTTTTGGTTTTATTATTTGCTTAAATTTTGTCTATTTTGAGTAGAAATTTATGTAAGATGAAGGATATATGTGCATGGAAAAAATACAACAGGCATTTTTAATTCTATATTTAACATTAGCATATTTGTATTATTATTAGTGATTATAGTTAAGAAATCTTCTGAAAATGTTACAAATGAAAATGTTTTGTCATGTTACAAAACATTGTTTTGTATGTTAAGCATCATATATTTTTAGGATGTTTATTCTATTTCTGGTTCTTTCTGTTTCTCTTACTTACAGTTATAACTATTATGTTTTTTCTTTATCTATCCACTCCCACCTACATCTGAAGCTTTTAATGTTGCTGTTATTATTCTCATCTCGGAGCACCACACCTGGTGAAATATGACACCTTTGCTCACCAAAGGGCTTCCTGATGGAGAAAAAAATACATAAACATGGTGGAAACGCATTTGCAAAAGCTTTAGTAAGGATGTTGATGTTGATCCTAGAGAGTGGGTTTTTTCCTGTTGTGGGATGCAAAATAAGTCATATGAATATCCCCACTGGGGCTCATGGTCAAAGTGCAGCACTGACCTCAGGCCCTCAGCATGACATGCAAAAAAGAGATAGAGCCCCATGTGGCTGGCTTTCCACAAGACCTTACATCCCATCAGCGGCTTATTAGCAGTACATCAGGCTGCACATACTGTAATATATATTTTGCAAAGAAGGATTTTTCTTTGCAATACATATTCTTGCACTTATGACCGTGTAGTGCTCTTTATTTAAACCCTCAGCACAGATAAAAAGAAGGACGCCAGGTCATGTTATTTTGAAAATATATATGTATATATGAAGGGATATATATTATTTTGAGTGTTGCTTTTTTTCCCGTGCTTAGAATTAGGAAACATGTAAACAGTTGAATAATTAAAACAGTGGCTACACTTTGTGCTCAGTTCTAATATGCATCCATCCAGGCCTGGTTGGATTTGGTATTTAAGGTTTGTTTTGTGTTTCTACTGAACTTGGTTAGTTTTCAACAGAAAAAAACAGCGGAAAAAAGGACATCTTTGAAATATTTTTCCCTTTTTCTTTCTAAGAAAACAGTTAAAATACTTACAGCCTCCAAGCCTATTGACACTGTGTTGCTAATAATATGGTTAAAGTGTTTGGTGAACACAGTTAAACGTAGACTGTGGTAGCAGGAAAAAGGGTTTATTGTTTGTAATCAAACTCTTTGAACATTAGAAGTTTAAAGTACTTAACACAATCCACAGACATCAAAATTATTAGAAACAATTTTCATTATAATTTTTTTCATCCTCTCATTTCGTATTTCCTCCTGTATAAGTATAGGAAAGTCTGATCGGTCTGATGTGCAGTTTAAACCAGCTGTTTGAGACAAGTGATGAAGATACTAATTGTCTGTGGTTTATTGTCTCTCCAAAGATTTTTTAAGTTAGTATTTCTAGAAATATTGAAGTATTGACTTCTTATGTCCACAGGGCATCAACATAGTTGGGCCTGGTAATGCAGAGTCTCAGCTTCAGCTTCCTTGCCCAGCCATGTACCAGCTGGATATTGTTCTGAAGAAAGGGAAAAATCTTGCCATCCGTGATCGAACAGGTAAGAGATGTATTTATTTCTGTCTTATCTGAATGGCGGTTAATTCGGACGGTTATTGTGGAGACCATTCTCATGCCTTCTTGTCTTGCCATAAGTTTGCCATTGTCTTCTCATTTTCTAAACAGCTTTATCACAGTTAGTGTTGAAACATTTGAATGGTACTCTAACGAAAAAACGAAAAAACACTTTTGTTCTATAAAGTTAGGGTTGAACTTTAAAATTCAGGAAAAAATAGTTACAACACTAGCTTAGCTTTTTCCTCTTTTCATTTATCCGATTATTCTGAACTTCTCTATATCAGAAAAAGAACAGAAAACATTATTGATTTACTACAATGTAAACAAAATCCCATGTTGGACGGGGCGCCTTTATAGTTGCTTTTTGTATCTCTGCTTTTATATCCTTTAACCCCAGTCAGCCTTGGCAGATGGCCGCTCACACTGAGCCTGGTTCTGCTGGAGGTTTCTTCCTGTTAAAAGGGAGTTTTTCCTCTCCACTGTCACTAAAAGCATGTTTAGAGTGAGGGATTGCATTTGACTCAATAAGTCAATGCAATCAACTGGTTTTCCTTAGATAGAAAACTTTGAATCAATTTGACTGTATGATTTGGTTGAACTGTAAAGTGAATTGGCGCTATATAAATAAACTGAATTGAAATTTAATTGAAATTTACTTTCATAAAAAAATATCTCAGTTAATACATTTGCTCCTACGATTCATGAAAATAAATTTGGTCACTTATGATAGCAGAACTTATTGTTTTTTTTTGTTTTGTTTGTTCACCAAGGTAAAAGCTATTAGCCTTTAGTAACTATGATGACGTTTTGTTGTGTGATTCTGAACTACTCTAGTTATAGGTTATAAGGGATCCAAAATATTCTGTCTGAGAAATAACTGCATTGTATACATCGGGTATTCCAGTACACCTCTGAAACTACCACCCATGCCATGCCTATCCTGGTGCAGTGATGATAAATACTTGAGAACACACCCTGATTAATCTGGGTATTACGTTGAGGTGGGAGTGGTGGCCGATATTTATCAGAGCACAGTCTTCTATCCTGAGAAGGCTGCATGTTTCGTTATCGTTCAATCCTACAGACTGTCATGGTTGGTTTAGGAATTAAACCCACATGCAGAACACCACTTGGAGACTGATAAAAATTCAACAGAGTTT